CTAAAGTTTTGGTTTTTTTTTTACTATTATCTTGCAATTATTATATTTGTCAAAGACATAATTTTTATATTTTTCTCTATATTATGTACAAGTGATTTTATTTTTTCAATTGTATCTCTTTTTTTTCTCTAAGTGCATGAAGATATATCATTCTTAATAATCCATTTTAATAATTAGTTTTGATTGATTTCATTTTTAGATAAAATTTTTAACATTTGGTATGTTATCTTCATAAATATAACACTTTGGTTAACATTCCAATGAAGATAATATTAAAATATGTGTTTGAAGGAAAATAAATGCTTATAGAAGATTTTAATTATTTTTTACATTCATGAATGCTAGTTTCTCTTCTAATCTTCCTCATTTGTCAAATTTGTTCTTAATATTCTGTCTTAGTTCCTTCAACTATAAAATGAGTAGGTTGGACTAAATTATCTCTAAAGTTCCATGGCCTGACAATTTAAATCATAGTCCTAGCCCTCATAAGATTTCCAAATGAAAAGGGACATATGACCTCATCGTGGGAAAAAAAAAAAGGGAAAAATAGTTAAAGGGCCTAAGAAATGGATAATGATGATGAGTATATTATAATGTATTGAGAAAACAGTCACTTAAGCTAAAACACTAACAATTTTATGGATTTCTCTTGTGTGAAAAACAAACAAAAGAAAACCAAAAACAATTGTTGAATGAATCTGATAGAAGAATGAGTAAAAAAAAAACAAAAAAACACAAAAGACTAAGACCACCTGATAGCACACTGTTTAATTCTAACAGCAATGATAATAGCTAATATTTGTGGAGCACTTCAATTGTGTGAAATATTTGGCATGAATTAAATTATTTGATCTTTAAAATTATACTGTGAGACAGAGCAAGTTTACAATTTCCATACAGATGAGCCTTAGGAGGGGCAATTTTTTGGAAGACAGGACAAATTACTTTTCTTGAAACCAGGATCTCATACAATACTGTTTTTATATCTACTATATGTTTATTTAGCCTGGATTTGAAATGTCCACCGGGTGGTACTAGATACCATTAAATTAATTTACACAAGATAAACTGAGGCATAAGATATGTTAAAAGACTTTTTTTTTTTAACCAAAAGTGATATATAATCTTAAGACCTGTGTACTTCTCTGTCCTAACTACCCATTTCACCTGCTTATATTTCCTAGATCATGTTCAGAATTGCCGGCGACAGATACATCATTCTTTCCTGATAGTCATACAACACATGGAATTATATTTACATCTTATGTTGTACACTTGTCATTTTATTGTCTCTTTTCTTCAATTTTTAACATGACTCTTTTGCATGTGGAACTTTTTAGTAAAACTTCAAGCTAAATTTTGCAAATGCCTTCTATAAAATACTCTTGATTTAATCAACCGCATATTGGAATATCTACCACATGAGCACACAGTAATATTTATCAAAATGAGTAGAATTGACGGTCATAAGTTTGAAATAAACTAGGTAAATTAATATCTTTAAAATTCCATCTGTATCATAAATCCCAACATTAAAAAGGGAATTATGGCCCTGGCCGGTTTGGCTCAGCGGTTAGAGCGTCAGCCTGCGGTCCGGAGAGACCCGGGTTCGGTTCCCGCTAAGGGCGCGTACCTCGGTTGCAGTTTGTCCCCGGCCCTGGTCGGTCGTGTGGGTGGCAGCCACTCGATGTGTTCCTTTCACATCGATGTCTCTCTCTCTCTCTCTCTCTCTCTCTCGCTCTCTCTCTCTCTCGCTCTCTCTGTTCCTCTCTCTCCCTCCCACTCTATCTGAACAAAAAATGGAAAAATGTCCTCGGGTGAGGATAAAAAAAAAAATAAAGGGAATTATGGCTCCCATGCTTTCATTGGTCATGTTGAGTTTCGTAAATGGGTTCCCTGTCCCGGTCAAATGGATAAAATAGGCTTGAAAGGAAATTATGAAAATTATAAATTTTCTGGTTTATCACATGTGGATTAATTCTATTAGTATAACAAGTTTCTTTATCAGCTATAAATTATTTACCCACTATATTCCATACTAAAACCCATCTCTTTTATATTCTCTGGCTTAAGGCTTCATCTTTCACTTAAATTGTCAGTACTACCTTCTAACGAGTCTCCAGAAACGTCAACACAAGCTCTACACATGGCCAAAGTTATTTTTTAGCACAAAAATTCCCTTAAAATTTCCACCACCTGTGGGATAAAATTGCAACCTTTCAGCATGACACAAATCCCTTTATTATCTGCAGCCCACACACATCTCCAAGCTCTGTGTCAATAATACCTTTTACTCTGTCCATCCTGTCAGCCAAAAAGAATATTTGTGGCTCTTCAATCATGACATGCTCACTTTTACACATGTGCCTTGCACACTTTTCCCTCTTCCTCTTCTCTCCCTTATACTCAGTTCAAACATTACTTCCCCTGAGAGGACCCCACTTAGAAGTCACCTCCTTTGGGAAGCTTTCTCCAGTACTTTCCAGAACCGGGTTAGGTCCTGCTTGCACAGCATCCTGGCAATAGGTATTTATCCCACACAATGTTTTGGAATGAGAAAGCTTTCCCATTGACCTTTTATAGAATACTCTAAATTCACCAAGGGACTCTTGTCTTCTTCTCAGTCACATCCCTGGTAATTAGAGTACTGAAATAAACATGTATAGAATGAATGACTAAATGATATCTTTTTAAATCACTGCAATGTTCTTACTTCTTGACATTAGTGGACTAAGTCTTAAAATTCATCCAATTTGATTTTATGCCCTTACAGGAATACATTTCCAGTTTAGGGGTTTATCAGAGACAAACATGCTACTATTTTAAGAGCAATTATACACAATGACATTTAAAAATGATTATAGACTGTATGTATTTATGTACATAGCATCTGAAAATATGCATAAGTTTAAAAACCAAAAATAGAAATAATTAGAAAAAACAAGAAGGGACTTATTGTTCAGGAACTACCAACTTTTTAACTGATTGAACTTTTTTCTATTTTAAGTTCATTTATATAACTGAATGAAAGACAGTAAGTCTCTTTCAATAAATACTTATTGATGACCTACACTGGAAAGGCATATTGATAGGCAGAAACTATACAAGTCAGCAAAATAATATTTTGAGCCATGGACTGCTTTCCTGCAGTGAGCAAATCCACAGGAAAGAAAATGTCTGGGTGTCTATGTCTCTGGCCCCCATGAGCAGCGGGTGCCATGTCGCTGAGGAGCACCGTATGCTCAGGCTGTCCTTTCATTACATTCTTCATTGTCTGCCAAAGGTCAGGACCCTCAGAGTCCTCACCTCACTGGGGAGAGATTGAAAACCTGAGTCTCCAGAGGACAGACTGCTTAATTTCTCCTTTAACGTTGTCAACTGAGACATTTTCTGGGAGCACAAATTAGAATCTTTATGAGAGATGTTACTGCCGTCAAGTCGACTTCATACACTGTCCCATCACTGCATAAGAAATGTCGTTTCATAGCACAATCATGCCTGGTGTTTTCATAAAATACATGCAGAGCTCACAAAACACAAAGGGTTTGGTTTTTTTTTTCATCCACGGACACTATAAAACTGTTTTAAAAGAAGCATTTTTTTTCTCCCTGCTCTTTTAAACCACCACTGATAGAAGCATAACTGGCAAGAAAAAAAAAAAAAAAAATAGGGTCAAGGAATCTACCCTAGAGAGTCAAATAATGTAATTGTTTTTCCACTGTAGCTGTTTTCCCCCATTGCTATGGTTTTAAATTTCCCAATCCAAATTAATGAACAATTTTCTCTGTGGTATAAGAATGCATTTGGCAGGACAAAGATCAGAGCAATCTCTTCTTCATTAAATTGGGCAAAGAGGACTCCTGGTTCTCAAACTGTTAAATGGATAGTAGGGTTTTTAATGAATGGAACGTTTATTTTTGTGCCAGCTCAACTAACAACATTGACACGATTAGCATACATTTTGGCAACTGTTCTAGCACAAGGTATTAGTAAAAAGAGGCTATTATCTTTGAGCTTAATTTACTTTAACTTCCCGTGTAATAAATGTTTTTAATGTGAATGAGATGTTTTTGTAAAGGAAATCCTGGCAAAACGAGTTATTCAGAAATGCATCTTTTTATTAAAGTTACAAGCGTTTCTCATGCTAGAGATGAAGTCCATACCCCAAAACACACAAACCTTCTCGAAATTTAGAAATGAATAAGTACTTAGTTATTTTACTGATGGTTAAATCATTGCACGTATGGAATTATTTTAAAATTTTTATTAACGGTGCTACTTGTTTCATATGTAGTTCCTTCCTTTAAAAAAGAGAAATAAGATATAAAAAATGTCTGGTAGAGAATGGTTTCCTCAATGGCTATACATACATTGCTTATGAATGAAAAGTTTTAGGGATTAAATGATCTTAGTTTCTTAGCTCAGATGCCTCTCATACAAAACATTTTTCAATAAAAATATACTCCTTTTTGTAACAAAACTACTGCACCATATGCTTACATTGTATGCATATTGTCAAATTGAAGAAAACTGATGTTGGTACAAATTCAAAAGGTCTTGGGTGTTGGCATTCCAAATTTTTTGTAATGCATTTTTATTTTAAAATTTATTGAAAGCTATTGTAACACAGCTAACAGGATTGCTATATAGTAAAATGAATGCTTATAATTGATACTAAATCAATAAATTAATATGCATGTGCACATGCATGGGTATAAATTACCATATGACCTTTTAGCAAACATATAGGTATACTCTCTATCATATATATATATATATATATATATATATATATATATATATATAAAACTACACACATATTTAATAATTTACCCAATATTTAATTGAGTAATGAATTAGTTTAATATAAACTTTAGCATAACAGAATATTTACAGTTTACCCACTTTTACCTCCAGAAGCAAACAAATGCCAATAACAGGCACTTCAATGAAAGAACAAGCCCAGATTCAAATAGAAAATGGTAAAAATGAGAAAGGAATTATGAAAATATATACTTTTAATTTGCAGACATATAAACACTTTTGGTACAGTACAGACACAGGATGCCCAAAAAGTAGAATGATCCAGTTTAAGCTAACACATTACTTGTTTATACAGATGATTTTGCTATAGCTCTCATAGAAAATAACATTCCCAGCTCACACAATGAAAATGATCAATCACTGATGAACCAGTTTGCTTCATTGCAAAGGATTCAGCAAAAGCTAAATTATCAAAGAAATCTGCTGCTGGGTTTACAGATACTCTTGGACTTAATCCAAAGCCAAAGAAAGGAAGTCAGAAATGGTAGCCAACAAACCTAAACAACAACAAAAAGATAAGTATAGCTTGCATATAAAAGGCCCAACTAAAGCAACCAGTAGTCTACACCAGCTTATAAAATAATTCTGCTTTAATATGATGTTTTTAAATTTTCTTATGTAATGGATGAGTTTAAGCATATAAAAATCTAATATACAACCCAAGTATGAAGTACTGCTCACAAGTTTTGAAAAAACCAAAATGTCATCAACATCTATGAAGCAACTAAGGACTGAAGTATTTCTTGCTTCTGGTGGTTTTTCTTGGGATGCAATTTCTAGTTACATTTTCTGTAAGGAAGGATACATATACATCTTTCCCCCTGTGATAATAGCAAGTGCTGGGTAAAGCAAACAGAAAGCAGTTTGAATACACAGAAAGTGAAACAGTCTTCAGCAAGTCAAATTTTTAACACATGGCAATGTTTACATCCTTGCTTAAAAAAACAAAAAACAAAAAACAACTGCACCTCTTTCTAATGCCTTCTCTTTCAAACTATGCATGACATACTTGCCAGGTAAACATTCTGTTTACAAATACATTTCTTTACATATACATTTAAGTGGGGTGAAATTCAATTTACTTTAATTTTATATTTGTTAAGTGTTAAAAACAATATATTTAAAATATACTCTTTCATTAATTTGATGTACAACTGTCAGGTACCATACCTCAACTCAAAACAGTTCCCTGCAAAGGAGCAGCTAATGCCCTCTTGTGGTTAAAAGACATTTTAGACAAAACATACAATGTGTCATTTTCTTACCTTACTCCCAGGTTTTATCAATCATCTGTTTGGTGTATGAAAGCTGAAAAATCACATCCAAGATATTTTTTATAATAGCTCCATAGCTGTTAGTACTAATTTTCATTAAAAAATGCTGTACACCTTTTATAACCTCTGATTTTGAATTTAAAAACCTGTAAACAGCTATTTACAATATATTACAAGTTATAAATTAGTAGTCCTTTAATGGAACTCATCCACACCATCTTTCAGGTGGTAAAGACTACCCAAAGTCAATGAAAACATCTCTGTGTTATTCCACAATGAAGTATCAAATATTAGAAATATCCATTGGTTTCCTCTCTCTCATGTGCAAGTCAATTTTTCCTTTTAGTGGAATTTGTACCTCCAAACTTTCATCTTCCCTGGGATGCTTTTTTCCTCTCCTTAAGCAGATGTATATGCCCATCCCTGTTACCAGTGTGATAGAACCCAAGCTTATTACAGACAGAGCTACTAAGGTGGGCATACAGGACACAGCTTCGACTTTTCTGTGAGTCGGTTCTATAGAGATCTGTGGTTCTTTCTCCTCTATATTAATTTCTGGTTCCTTTCTTAAAAGGCTCTCAATGTAGCTCTCGTCACTGACAGTGTCATTGACAAATAGGTTGACCATGACCGTGGAGTGGAGAGGTTCAGGATAACCATGGTCACTCACTTTCACTAGTAAACGATGGAGTCCATAATCTGTCTGCAGTAGTGCCTCTTCCAAAGTAATGTTGCCAGTTTTAGGGTCAATCCTAAAGGATTCAGGCCTAGGACCTCTTCTTCCTATGATGCTGTAAGCTATGACAGCATTCATGCCTGTGTCTTTGTCAACAGCATAGACCTCTGTCACTGGGGAGCCCGGGAGAGTAGAAGGTAGTACCAACAAATAAGACATATTAGACTGAGGAAATAAAACAAGAGGAGGGTTGTCATTGATATCTAGGAGGAGAATTGTGATTTTTACGGTAGAGGAGAGAGCAGGCTCACCCCCATCAACAGCTTCAACCCACAAAGTATAGGAGCTTTGCTGCTCTCTGTCCAAAGAGACTTTAGCTCTCAGCATGCCCTTCCCTGTGTCTATGACAAAAATATCACTTTGGTTCAATACGGAGAGGGCGACCCATCCATTTCGCCCAGCATCAGCATCTGTTACACTAATTACTCCAATTTCACCATATCCTGGAAAGTTTTCTGGCACAAAAAAGCTGAAGTCCTTGTTGATGAACCTAGGGCTGTTGTCATTTTTATCCAACACTGTGAGAGCCACAGTGGCTACTGATTCTCTGGGTGGCTTCCCAGAGTCAACAGCTCTGACTGTATACCTATATTTTTCTTTCTCTTCTCGGTCCAGCTGAGTAGAAACTGTCAAAATTCCTGTGACACTGTCTAAGGAAAAATACGATGGAGCATCATGTCCCAGAAAATATGAAACTTGGCCTCTCTCGCCACTGTCTGCATCTGTAGCATACAGCTTAGTCAGAAAGGCATGGGGTGCGTTGTTTTCTTCAATGGTTAGTTCTATCAAAGGTTGAAGGAAAATAGGAGCATTATCATTATCATCTAAAAGTTGTACTTTAATAATTTTTTTTACATGAAATCCCTCAGAGTTCCAGGCCACCACAGCTATTTCATAGAATTGCTGTAGCTCATAATCCATAGGTTTGGTGGTTTCTAGCAAATACTCGTTATTGTATGGTTTGTAGGGTGACAGTCTAAATGGCCCTTCACCGTCTAGATAGCAGTTCACCTTGTATTTACCTTCTGGATCTCTTATGGTAAAGAAAGCAATTGGAGTGTTAACAGGTTCCAGTTCTTTCAGGTAAACAATACCATCTATCTCATTTGCTATATAACGAGGGACAATTTCAGGTGGTCGGAAAACGACTTTGATAATGGACACCAGGGCAGTGATCACAGCAGGGATGCAGCCTGGCCCATTAGCAAGGATGGTGAGCTTGTGTGTCTGCAGAACACTTCCCCCAATCTTACTGAAAAGTTTAATGATGCCAGTGGTTTCATCCAGATGGAATAAATCCTTGGATGCTTGTGGAACTTTCTGGCTGTAAGAGTAGGTGATCTGAGCATTGGTCCCCAAGTCTCTATCCGCAGCCTGGACTGCTGCAATCGGGGTGCCCACTGTAGCATTCCCATACACAGTGACGTTGATCTGTGAGTCTGCGAAAAGAGGGCAATTGTCATTAATGTCACTTATGCCAATGGTGAGGGTGGCACTGCCCGACAGTGGTGGCGAACCACCATCCTCAGCAATGATGATGCTCACATACTGGTCCTGGGTCTCCCTGTCCAACAGTCCCATGACAATTAGGTAGGGAGTGCGCTCCCCATTCTCATTCTCCTCCACATCCAGGGTGAACATCCGATGGTAGTCCAGTAAGCGGTAGGTCTGCACCCCATTAGTGCCTATATCGGGGTCCATGGCAGGATGCTCTATGGCCAGCCGGGTGTTTACAGGTGCATTTTCTGGGACCCAAACCGAGATTTGGGAAACAGGGAACTGCGGAGCATTGTCATTGATGTCCCGAATAGCGATTTTCACCTTCACAAACCTAAAGTGTTCCTGAGGCAGGACCAGTACATCCAGAAGCAAAAAACAAGAGTCAGAAGAAGGGGAGGAGGAAATGGAAATGCTGCTGCCCCAAGCAGTCCCTCCACCTCCTTCAAGACACAGCGCCTCCCGGTCGATCTCCTGGGCAGAAGTGTGCAGCTCCCCAGATCGGTTGTCTAGGGTCACGTACTGGCCACTCAGTCCCCTGGAGGCCAGGCTGAAGGAGAGAGGAGGGCTCGGCTCAGCGCCTGTGCGCTCGGCCGGCTGCGTGTGCTGGTCCTGCCTGGCCCCGGCCCGGGGCACCAGCCGCAGGTCCTCGGCCAGACTGCCGATGAGCACCCCCGCCGGCAATCCCTCGTTCAGGCTGTACAGAAGCTCCGTGGCCCGGCTGTAACTCGCGAGGCAGTTGAAGGGTCCCACGAAGAGGAAAAACAGAAACAGTGGCTGAAAGTGGGGGGAGGGGAGAAGCCTCATTACCACACTCGCGGCAACACAGAGATTGGAATTAGAAACCAGTGCCCCGGGTCATGGCTGCCCTCGTCCCCATTCCCGGAGGAAAACCCTCTCTTGTCAGAGCCGGGAGAAGAGGAAACTTTCGGCAAAGAAGAGATCTATGGGGCGACGTTGTCTCCCAAACTTATTTTATTTTCTGTTCACTTTCTACCCCTGCTCCCCATCACCACTTTCATCCAATTAATATTCACAATGCCCAACCGTAGAGAATCCCTGGAAACACACGCCGGAGTGGAGAGGACTCTTACTCCGGGACTGCGCAACGCGACAAGGAAACCACCGGGGTGGGTTATGGGGAGGGAGGGGGTTGGTGGTGGAGCGGGCTGAGAGGTGGGCAATTTATCAATTTATTCCTTATTGAAATGTTTCTACCACTAAGAGCCTCAGAATGCGACATGTTTGACATCCCTCATTATGAAAGCAATAGCAACAATAACATCATTAATGATACTGATATGTAAAACATGGTAAGGCGTTCTGCTCGCCCCCTCCCCCATTAAATAAATACTTTAAGTCAGAAGAAGTAATTTTCATTTTAGCATGGATCTAAAATTACATCGAAAAGATCTGGATCTCCACTTCACATGAAGCCCTCACCAATCCCCCTACCCCAGAGGAAAAGAAGTAAACGCGGAAAATGATTATGCAAAAACAATTTGTCAATTGCAGTAGACAGTCACGGCCAGATGCCGGCAGCAAGAAAGGATCTCCGAACCCCAGTATCTAAAGCGGATTGAGCCCCCACCCTCACCCCCTCCACCTCATCTGTCTAAATTTCTGCTTCTGAAACTTCCTCTCACGACCCAAGGACTTGCCTATTCTTTGCTGAAATGAAGCTGCATTATCCCAAACTCCCTTTCCCTCCCCTCATCTTCCCGTGAAGTTTGGGTTAAGGGAAAAGGTTTGAAAACCCTAAGGAGTAGGAACTACCCCTCCAGGAGTGGGAACTGCCCATACGGTACTGCAACTTGTCGCTGGGCGCAGACCCTTACCGGCAGGTTTCTGTGGCTGGTGCTGCTGCTGGGACGACTTAGCCGCCCCATATCCAGGCGCGGGTGCCAGGTCGCCGGGCGCCAGCTCACTGCCAGGGCCCACGAGCTGCGCGCATTCCCTCGGCCGCGCATTCCCAGGGAGGCTGCAGTCAGCGCGCTCCTGTCGGGAGGGCGGCGGAAGACACTCCCTCTCTGTTCATGCAAATCGCTGGGGAACTTCAGCCAATAGTCACAGGCTCGTTGATTAAGACCGGAGCTAAAGGCGGGCAGAAAGGCAAGGGGCCCAAGGGCACGGTCATGGTTTCCAATGCAGGACATCTGTAAGTCCAGACCCCACTGGAGGAGCCAGAATGGGGGATTGCCTCTGAAGACTGCGACGAGGCGTCACCTGGTCGGGCACCGGAGCGCGTGCCCACAGCTACCTCCTTGCTGCACCAGTCAGAACCCAAGTTCACAGGTTTCGAGCTTGAGAGGGAGAATTAGAATGAATAAATAAGCCTGCGTTGATATCTGAATTAATAGAGGAATTCGGCGCTACCGCGCAGTCACAGGCGCGATCCCAGAACGCCTGCTTTGCCACCAGATATAACAAGAAAGACTTGTATCCAGTACTGTTTGCACAGAGAGGGGGAAAAAAATCCACTCTTCTTTGCGAAGGGAAAGAATGTCAAACTCTGTGAACAGCGGTCTGAACCGGAAAAGCAAATAGATGAATTGGGTGAAGGTTTCGACATGCTCTAATTTTGAATCTTCGCTGTTTGTTGTGACAGAGCTTGTGCTAGTTTCCTAGTTTTAGGCTCAAGTGTCTCCTCTAAGAGGGTTCCTGCCCTGTGGTCTTACTTCAGAGGCAGTCGCAGCTTCTGGGCAAAGGAAGGAAGCGAGGGAAAAATGAAAGCAATTGTGGGGGGCACACGTGGTTCTGTCTGCAAGCAATTTTAACATATTTCTCTAAGGGGAGCATTTGGGCAGTGGCAGGGGGGCGCTCACTGAAGCCTAGGTTAAAAAATAATTGCATACATTTCAAATTATTGCTTTTTTTTCTTGTAATGCTTACTGGGAAAGTTGTCCTTTAGAAAGAAATCCTGAAGCAGTGTGGTGCAAAATGCTTGGATATGCTCTTCGGTTCTGATACTAAATAACCATTGAACTTGTTTCCTCAGTTATAAAATCGGGACTGCAGATAGTTCAGTGCATTAAGTCAATGGAACACTTTGATCTGCAGGGTGTCATATAAGTAACGGAAAAGACCACTGGCCTCCCTGAGGTAGACATTTCTCCTCATCACTATATTTCCAGATATCCTGTGTGCTGCCCTGAACATGAAACCCTCCCACTGAATGCTTAGTGACTGAGCTTAGAACAGAAAAATCTTCTTCTTGGATCATAGAAAGATCTGACGTTCCTGTGCCTTCCATAGGAACTACTTTAATTTTCTTTTTAATTCCACATTATGCTAACTAGAATATAAATAAATTGGCTAAGCTAGTGTTGTGGTTTTTTTCTGACCCTTCCTATTTTCTCATGACCATTAATACTAAAGACGTAGAGTCCTAAGTATTGACAACACACTCCATCAAAACACCTGGTGTATGTAACAGCTTCATTTTGCCCAAATGGGACTATACATGAAATTCACAAATAAAACCCCCTATAATACAAATCTGGTAAATAATATGAACTGGCTTATAAGATTAGCTCCTTTAAGCTCTTTGGAGTGAAATTGGAGTGCTGTTGAAATAAGCACACACACAAGAATGTGCTCATGTGGGTGTTAGGCCATTATACAACTGGTAAACCAAACACAGTCAGGAAGTATGATTTGCCTCTTCTTGCTTCTTCAGCTGCTGGTTCTGCCCTACAATTGAACTTTTACCATGACTGGTAAGTATTTACTTTGGAGTCTGTAGCTGAAACATATTGGACTCCAAAAATCAGTACCAAGCTGCTTCTGAAATGTGTTTAATTTATGTCTTCACACAATACCTACAGCTTCTGGAAGTTTAGGGCACATGGCCAGAATTAGGCAATCCGTCAGTGGTCATAGGACTTGCAGGTTACACCTATAATCTGAAGTCATTCTCCATCTACACAGGTAATAACAGCAGTGGGATGTATATCCCATTGCAGCTCACACTGCTCCAACAAGTTATGATCACTTGCCTTTTATTTGGGAGAACATATAGGAATCTCTTTCTTTAGTTTTTCCTTTGTTCAGGGGGACACTGTACAGGATTGATCATTCATGAAGATAATTCATTTTAAGTGACATCACTTCGTTGTAATTATTTTTTCAACTGTCTTTAATTTTCCCTGAAAACTTCAGCTCTGCTTGCTTTGCAGTGGATGCTTTGGGCACAAATGCACCTTGTCAAGTGTACCCATCCCAGCCATATCCTCCACCTGCTCTCTGTGGAAAGGGTTATTATTCCTCCTCCCTTTTGCAAAGTTGGCAAGAAATTAAATCAACATATTCAGCAATAAGTTTTTAGAGTGTCTCTAAAAAACACAAACATGAACTATAATGTAAGTTGAAATATGCTCTGGAAATAATATGTGGAATGACAATAATAACCACCTTTGCTTTAAGTTACTGTGGTGATTGCAGAATCTCCATGTGGAAGTTTGTCATCAAGACTGGGAGACCTTGGCACAATTTGGGGTAATACCTTACATACACATTCCAAACTGTTAACTTCACTACTTATTATTCTTTCCTCTTTGAAGATCTAAACATCGGTTTCATGCAGGTTTATACTGTAATTGGGCCTTTTAAAAAAAGACCAGGTACCCTCCTTTCTTCTCCTGTATCTTCTCTCTGGCTCTGTTAAAGCATCCCCAGACTCTGTTTCCTTATGATGCCAGCCCTGTGACCTACCATCTGGTGGCACATATTTCTTTCTAAAGATGACTTAGAGAGCTTCTGTGCTATTAATTCCTTGAAAACAATGCTTAACAAACTTCTCAGATGTCTCAATTGCTCTGGGCCTGCTTCCCAGGTGTTTTGTAAAAATTGATCCAGAAGAATAGTTAGATTATATGCCTCCCAAGCCTATTTTTTTCTATAGACAAGGAAAATGATTTGATACAATAAATGGTACACAGAGCTGAGCCAGGGGATTTGGATTCAGTTCCCATGGTTGTTGCTACGTTACTGTGTGACTTTAGATAAGTCATCACACCTCTCTGTTTCAGTTTTATATAAAAACACACACAGATATTTCATGGACATATGAAATGGCTAACCTACTATCTGTCATTAACAGATACTCCATGATAGTAAGCGAGTTAATTTGATTATTATTTATTGCATTATATCACTAAAAGATAATAATATATATTTTTATTTACTGCAAGTGTTCTCTTCCAAGAACACTTTATAAAGTCGTGAGAATTCTTAGAAGTGTCTGTGAGGATACCATCTGCAAACTTTGTACATTTAGCAAACATACCCTAAAACTTTAAAAAAATGCTTTCAGTGTTTTCTAGGTAGCTATTATTTGTACTTTTCAGTTAATTCTAATTGCATCATTTAAATTTTAATAGCAGCATGGTATCTGCAAGTTTCCTATAATAAATATACACATAGATATTTAAACCTATTTTGAACCACCGTCCTATAAGTATACTGATTATTCAAGATTGCAAATAAATATAAATTTAGAACCTAACTTGTTTTAGGAATATGTTATTTGTTGCTTGCAAATATAATATATGTATATATGTAAAAGTAAACAGTGCAAAATATATAACATGTAATTAAATATAATATTTAATAATTATAAATTCATAAACATTTATATAACAACATTTTTAAAGAATATATTTTTAAAATATAAAATTCATAAATTTATAAATATTATATATGTATTATTTTTCTGAGCCAATAGTCAAGGGAAGGGATGATCTCATTTGTAAAACCAATAAAACATTTGAGAAATGATAAAATCAACCATTGTCAGTTATGTTCTGAGCATACTACTGGATGATTTACATGTTTATTTACTTTAAACTCATGATAGTGTTATAATATAGATATTATTATATCAATTTTACAGCCATAAATTGCATGTTTGTCAGTGTCGAAGGAGTAGGTTCTGATCTGTGGTTCCCAAAGCACATGATCTTTCCAGTCTGGTGCATCCTTCCCACCAGAATGGGTGGAGCAAGAACCTATATACAGTTAAGTGTATTTCAAGTTAACAAACAATTATCACTCACCAAAGATAAGAAAAACTTTGTAGGCATACATTTGCTGTATGATTTCTTTTTGAAGTGAAAACTTCTTTAGTCAATTACGATTTCTTAAACCGATACATACACACAGACAAAAACTTATGTTTAACAAGCTTAGAGTTCCCAATTTGTAGACTTAAAATATATTATGTCTGTATAATTGTGTGTGTACTTGAAAGATTTGCAGTTTTAAGTAATTTTATGGATCACCTCGTTAGTCCTCATTTTTCATATTAGTAGAGAGCATAGCTAATTCAAATTCTTAAAATACTCCTATTTCAGAATCATGTAGATTTTGGCCTCTGGATTGTCTCTGATATCAGAGGATAACTTAGAAAAGCGTCATTTATTTATTTATTTATTACTATCTTTTATTTACAAAAGCCTTGATATTTAACAGTGTCATAAGTACTGGTTAGTTACTTTATTTTATATTACTTTTATTAATTTCTCAACCTTACAAGAAATGGTACTATTTTTAGGAAACAGTACTAATTTGGGTAAATGGTTGTTAAAGTGTATCAGACAAACATTAGAAAAAAGCCCCTGGCTTTTTCTGTACACAACTCAGATATTAATTGTGAGACTAATGGGAAATCAGCATATTGGTTCTTTTAAATATTTAAACATTTTAATATTGGTTCTGCCAAAAAAGCTAGATGGTTAATTTAGAAAATAAAGATTTACACTATTTGTATTAAAAAAATAAAAACAAGCTAATTTACTTTAATACAATATTTTATTCTAAAACATTTACCACTGTATCGTGCAACTTATAAATGTGATTTTCATAAGTAAAAGGGAGGAGAGAGAATAATAGAATCATAGGGAACTAACTAGTTATAGAGGGACACTAGCCATAGTTATAAGAAATAGAAATGTTTATCATCATGATTGGTTTGGTCTGATTAAAGAAGTACATTCTAACCTGTCTGGGAACTGTGCACCCTGGGAGTTTTTCTTGAGGATGCTGTCCATTCTCCTTTTCTGAGAGCAAGGAAAAACTGCTCAATGTCATGGAAAGATTAACAATCTTGTGTTTGGAGTACTGAAATCCTGGAAGCAACCCACTGGTGACCACCTTTTTAAATTTAATATGTTTTTATTGGATTTTCTCGAGAGAGAGAGAAACATTGATGTGAGAAAAATCGATTAGCTGCCTCCTTATGCCCCCTACTGGGAATCAAGCCCGAAACCCTGGGCATGTGCCCTGACCAGGAATCCAACTGGAACCTCTCAGTCCATGGGATGATGCC